AGGCTGGCAAAGAAAGATTTCCAGGGATGCTTCCAGGCTTGGCAGCGGCGCTGGGCTCGTTGTGTTCACTCCCAGGGGAACTACTTCGAGGGTGATGGATGAATTTAATACCTGAGATAAGTGTACGGGTTTTTATACGCGCAGTCTTGAAACTTTCCGATCGCACATCGTAGTAGCAAAGAAACGAAGTAACCTTGAGGACCAACGTGTAGCATTTCTCTCTCCTCGTCATTAACCAAGTTCACACGCAGCGTCTGTCGCCGTGGCGACATGACACCCAATAAATTGAAGGCAGATAAATTCGCGGGACGGACGCGTTTTAGATTGGCAGTTAATTTCAAGAGGCTTTAGTTTCAAAGAATCCTTCTAACCAGGTTATTAGTCGTTCGCTCAGACATGAGCTGTGGATATGCGCGTAAGGGAGGGTACTGACGCTGTCTGCTAGTGATAGTGGGGCGAGTAGGGGAACAGATTTCTCTGTACTACTGAACACAAAAATATCAGTGCAGATTGAATTACTTACAGCGGCTGACGAACATTTTACAAAGCTTCTATTCCACTTAATTCCCCATCATCTTCTTCTGCATCTTCTTCCTCCCTCTCGTTTTCCTCACTACTGCTACAACTGTTGGTATCACTGCCATCTTGTAAATTAACTGTAATTTGTTCCGAAATGTCGTCAAGAACAGGTTCCAACCGCAAGTAATTCTGTTCGCACTGACGGGATTTGTTGCACCTCGAGGTCCATTCTTCCTTTGTGATGCTACTAAACTTTTCCTCAGCTAGTTTCATAGCATCATCTAGACGGAAACTGACATTCTTTCTGGCGACATATTCTTTGACCAATCCCCATATCAGTTCAATCGGATTCAGATCTGGATGATATGGCGGCAAGCGAAGGGCAGAGTGGCCATGTTCAGACAGTAGAGCGTCAATTTTGAATGTTTTGAATCGTGGCTTACGCAGTTTAATTAGAGAATACAATTCGGGCTTACACATTCCGTCACTGAAAGGAATGCTACGATCTGAAAGCCAGTCGATCATAGCACTTTTTCGAGATGAAGAAGTTGGAGCCGGATTAAGTTGTACGTTATGGTAAGCTGCATTGTCCACTACTAATACCGAATTTGGTGGAAGGTTTGGAATTAACTTCGTTTTGAGCCATCTTTCATAGTTGTCAAAATTCATATCATGATGATAATCTCCAGATTTTGTCCCCGATTTAAACATTAACAAAGCATTTGGAATGAAGCCATTTTCATTGCCAGCGTGTACGATGATGACTCGCTGTCCTTTGGAGACGGGTGCAAGTAGACCTGCATTTGTACCATCACCCCAGGCATGTCCTTTCGTGTGTGAGGAGTGAATGTACGTTTCGTCCATGTAGATAATAGGTCGCCCCTCATTTCTGTAACGACTTATATTTCTCAAATAAGACAGTCTTGCTGCACGAATATCATCCTTTTCGATGAGAACTTTCCTATTACTTTCCGATTTCCTCCACCTGAAGCCTAAATTTCTAATTATTTTCCAAAGAGCCCACTTCCCGCCACTGAAGTTAATCTTTTTCTTAATTACTGCCAACAACGATTTTAAAGTAGGACGCTCGCCTTGTGTAGTGTGAAATTCGTTAATCGTTCTTCGAATTACACACTTGTCAAAATCATCTACATCTGTTTTAATTTTCCTTCTTGGCCGTTTCTTGTGAGGTGTGCTGAATTCTTTTCCCACTCGTTTATTATGTTC